TTGGTGACGTGAACGCTTTGCCGGCGACAAGCAGAGCCAGGCATTCAGAGCTGTGATGCCAGGTGGGACAGGTTGGACACAGCCTTCTGGGCCTCAGTGTCCTCTTCGGGGCCAGAGAGGGCTGTAAGGTGACCTTAACAACACAGCACAAACGGGGTGGCTTCTAAGAAGGTGAGTGCCTTGCCTTCAAGTTCTGGAGAACTGGAAGTCCAAGGTCAGGGTGTCAGCCTTGCTGGTTCCCGCTGCGGTTGAAGGAAGACCCTGCTCCACGCTGCTCTCCTAGATTCTGCTGGGCTAGCAGCAGCAGCACCTGGCACCCGTCCTCTGCCTCCCTGACACTTCTCTTGCATGAAGACACCCCTCAGATGGGATCAGAAGCAGCGTCAGCTTACCCAGTGATCCACGGGCTTCCTTGTGCTGACTTACTAATCAGTGGCGAACAATCACAGGCTTCCCCCACATTAGAGCCTCTGCCTAGAGGTCTGGCATCTGTCTCTGTCCCAACCCCCCAGCACCTTCCCACAGAATCCAGGACTCCTCTCAAACGTACAATCCCGGACAGGAATCGGTGGGAGAAAGACAAGCCTTGCGACTCCCATAAGGAGTAGGGACAGGCTCGGAAACCCACAGGGGCAGTTCTACCCTGTCCTATAGTGTTGCTACGAGGCGGCATCAACCTGATGGGAGGGAGTTTTGGTTGGCAGGGATAGAGTACCCAGGAAGCAAGCTAAGCATGAGCTTACTTGTGCTCCCCTCACACACACACACACACACACACACACACACACACACACTTCATAGCTCCCCATGGCTTTCATCCCAGGAGGTGGGGAAACATGCTAGACGGTCCACGACACGGTAGGAAGTGGCCCACCATGCCACCGGCTCCTTGGTACTACGGTTTAGGACTTTAACACCTCTTCTGCAGGTGACACACTTCATTCAATCCATAATGGCAAAGAAATGCTTCCACAGTGTCGAGAAAAAGGAGTGGCAGTTTTTTACCTGGGCTGGGGCCTGTTGGAACCCATGGAAATGGACCACTGCCCTCCCACCCCACCCTACCTCCACCCCTGATCTCTGAGAACACCCAGCAACGACAAGCAGACCAACAGGTCTGAAGAATGACACTGGCCACAGGTAAGTGCAGGCACAAACTGCAGTTGACAGCACCCCCCCATGGGCTGCACTGGGAGGACCTGTTTCCCTGGGCACCGTCATAGCATCACCACCCTCTCAGTCGGGAGTCGTCAGTGAGAGCCCACATTTCAAAGCAGTGGTCATGTGGCCACTCTCTCAGCTTCGCTCCTGGACCCAACAAGCACAAAGTCCCATTCCTTAGCATTTCTGCCCATCCTGGCTCGCCACCAAGGACAGGGGAGGGGGGCGGGCGCCCTGGGCCTGCTCCCTGCACATGTGACCTGGTTTGGAAACAGAGTCTTTGAACATGCTGTGAAGGACCACGAGGTCACACTGGAGTAGGGCACGTCCTAGTCCAATCTGAGTGGTGCCCTTGCACAGGAGATGGAACACAGAGACATAGGAACTCCCTGCATTGAGCCGACAGGACAGGCAGAACTGCCCCTGTGGGTTTCTGAGACTGTAGGTCTTCAGGGGACTGGAAAGCCCATCTTTCTTTCTCCCTCAGAGCAGCTGGCGGTTTCAAACAGGCGACCTTATGGATCACAGCCCAACTCATAACCACTGTGCTATGAGCACTCCTAGAGACTCCTAGAAGCTGGCCACCTACTTAGGGAGACTCCTAGAAGCTGGGCATCTATTAAGGGAGACTCCAAGAAGCTGACCACCTACTAAGGGAGACTCCTAGAAGCTGGGCATCTACTAAGGGAGACTCCTAGAAGCTGGGCACCTACTAAGGGAGACTCCTAGAAGCTGGGCA